GGAAGGGGGTGGGGGGAGTGAGAAAGAGTCGATGTGAATGACGGCCGGTCAGTTCTATAAACCACGAACCGCCACTGACAACAATAGTTATAGTAACCATAGGGCGCACATCTACGTCATAAGGCCAAAAGGTGCGATCATCAACATCAGCATCATCATCATCATCATCATTGTATTAGCCATCATAGGCAACAGTAATATTCAACTCCTCCTGATCATCTGTATGTTTAATAATAATGATAATTTAAGTGACACTGACCGAAAAGTTATTTCTTAACAATTCTAAACGGTGTACAAAATATTCAAACTCTGTCATTGATCCCGACCTCACCCACCTGTGAAATCCGAGTAAAGCCGAAGATGTCGGAGAACATGATGGTCACTGACTTGAAGTATTCGGCGTCCACCTCTTTCGTCATCTTCAACCGTTCTGCAACAGGTTTGGGGACCATCTGATACAGAAGCTCGTCCATTTTCTTCTTCTCCTTCGACAGTTCCTGTGATTTTAGATGGTATTCACAGAATTGATTGTTGTTTCTTTAGTGGAATTTTGAAACAAAGAAACATGGCTTGGAACCATAACAACCCCGGCAGAAACACCTAATCCTGTTCTTTTTCGTTCAATCATCAATCCAAGTTTGTAAAGTTCTCTGTTACCGTATTTTTTTACCTTTCGTGTCCTGTATCCTGATTTGGTGTCATATAGAATGTGTAAATGTAATAGGCCTAGCTTCTGTTACAATTAGCTTGTTCGGAATAAATGCCCCCACCCCTGCCCCCCCCCCCTAAAAAAAACACCAAAAAAACACGGTTTTCTTTTCTTACTTTCCCTCCCTTACTTTCTAATGTTTTTTTCCCCCAGAATATTTTAGTCCAGTCAGAGCATTAAGCGACAACCCAAGAAATAAGCAAAACGCGACCTCAGTGCTTTCTTGTCGTATCTCCATTTTTAATAACAGTGAAAACAGATCATAACAAAAAGTGAACTTCAGAAGAAGTCACATTTCCACTGTTTAAAAATTGGAGATACGACAAGAAAGCACTGGGGTCGCGAAAAGAAGACGCTCACCTTTGTTTTATGTACAAGGGCTATGGCATATTTCTGTATGTCACTGGTCAGTGCTTCCACAGTGTAGATGACCAAAGGACACATCAGTATGACGATGACCAAGAAGCAGGCACTGATGGTCAAGTTCTTCTCCTCTGCCTGGATAATCTCCTCCAGCTGACCGTTGATCAGTCCCGCCAGCTCTTGCTGGATGATGAGCAGGGTGTCCAGGTATAACGTCATGTTGTCGAACCACCATTGTCCTGAGGAAACGCAGCATTGGCTTCTTTTTTATTGCAAAAAGAAATGACTCGCGAAGAAGCGAATAAATAGCCCTGAATGTAGTAGAACATAAACAAACAAAATAAACCAAAAAACGAAACAAGAACCAAATTATGAAAAATGCATAATATTACTGTGAGTTCGGATCAAATTTTAATAATGTATACCTATATACGTCCCATTTATTTTTTTAATTTACGTTTTTCCTTCTTTCTTTCATTTGCTTTTTTTTTTAAATTTCAAGTACTATCTCCTCATTTATTCCATCCACTGTTTCCTTCGTTCTTTCATCTATTTGTTTCCTTCTGTAAGTCACTGATTAGTTTGCTTTCACCCAAAGAGGCTACCATGTACTCGTATGTTGAATGGTTAACCATTGATAATGACGATAATTATTGTCTGATAGGAAAGAAGGGACAAACCACTCCAGTGGAGCACCAGCTCAGATACCTTTCGTTATAGAAGCATCCGTGTTCATCGTGTGCTGGATCTCAAATCGAAACCGCTCTATGACGGCCGTGAGGTTAGTGCCAGTTGCCGTCACACCCTCCTGGAAGATGGGGTCAACGGCCTTGGAGTAGAGCACAGCTGACCGGTAGTTGGCCTTGAAGATGTTCACTCTGTTGTTGTACCGCTCGTACACACTCTGAGTGGGAAATCCCCCTTCTACATAAAATACCTGGAATTACAAGTCGTAATTTTAAGATAATGATGATAAATAGCTTTTGTCTTGCTGATATCCTCACTCAACACGTGTGTGTTTGTTTATTTGTTTGTGTGTGGGGGATAGGTGGGTGGGTGTGTGGAGAGAATTAATGGGGGGAAGAAAGAGAAAGAGAGAGAGAGAGAGAGAGAGAGAGAGAGAGAGAGAGAGAGAGAGAGAGAGAGAGAGAGGGTGATGTGATATGTAGAGATGATGTTGCATGTAAGAGTATTCTGTGTCACAGATCTCATGAAGGCACACTGCACGTTTTGTCAAATGTTTGGTCAATATAATATAGCTTACCTTATCTTACAGGCTAACAATGAAGGACAATGTGATGAACGTTTTGCTAACTTATATACTTGCCGCCGTAGAGCTGAAAATTATTGCCCTGGCGAGGCCACAGTAAAACATTGGTCATTTTTACTTTCGTTCATTATCATAATAGAATTAAAAAGTCCACCTCAATGAAAATTTCAAAGCTTATAAGCAAAGCAAGCCTTTCGAAAGGAACGACAGGAATTAGCACAAGTGTATGATTAGCTATAGAGTTGTAAACTTATGAATTCCTTTACAGCGAACCTCGTATCCACCGATAGCGGACTCCGAGTAAAAGAGGTTCAACAGATTTTTAAAAATTCATGTCAGCAAACAATAGGCTTCAGCAAAAACAAGATCGCCGGGACTGATGTGATATCATTGTTATGACTGAACCCTGTTACAGACGGGAATGAAGTTTTCGTGCCCTTTAACTAATGATTAACGAATGGGATCATTCTTTTTTTTAAAAAAAAGATTATCAACTACCTATTTATCAATTTAGTGCATCCCTTTTCTTTACGAGTGATACCCTCAGCCCCCCATCTTTTTCTTCCTTTTTTTCTAGCTTCTTAGTTTCATAGAGATTGGGTAAACATGATTTGAGATGCACATGACATAGATCTGCGGTATATCTAAAGTTCGGAGCCTACTTTTTATTCAATCTTTTTTTCCCCCTAAAACAAGTCTCCCCACCACATGAGGAGATTAGATGACGATGTGTTACCAGACTTAGGCCATGCGAAGTCACTGACTGAATTGTCATAAACACCAAAGTGCACCCAACTTTCTCCCCCCCCCACACACACACACACACACACACAAACACACACACTGTACATGCACACGATATGACACATCATGAATCGTGTCACAATCAACTTAGCCAACCGTAGGTCACGTAAGTCCAGTTCACCGTAAATGTTATCTGGTTATCTGTTGCCTTGCTTCATTTGCTTTTACTTGCCGTCTTGTCGATTTGTTTTAGTTGGGATTTTGTCAATAATTGAAATTG